TCAACGACTATGCGCCCTTGAAACAATTTCTTATTATTTATGTATTATTTTCAATACATTCTTTTTAGTTTTACAGCTTGATGAAACCTTTTTGTTTGACATCAGCCATTATAGATAATCTGGCCATCTGAGTGTGTGTGGTACTGTTTGTGGTTTGTTTTTAACTGTTTAATACAGTTAATTATTCAAAATGTCAGAGTTCCTTATTTTTAAACTGAAACTTGCACTACTGTTCAAAAATAAATAACAACAAACCTGGAATTATGCATTTGGGACTTTTTTTTGCTTTTTCTTGTTGTACCGAACCCGTACCGAACCGTGACCCCCAAACCGAGGTACGAACCGAACCGTGACTTCTGTGAACCGTTACACCCCTAGAACTGGGGTTACAGTAGGTAACCTCAGTTCTATGGCTTCGCCCTCTAAGGCTATCGCTATTGGGTTAAGGGCGAAGCATGATGTAGTCTGCGCCCCACTGGGTCCGCCCGGCACTAGAAGCACAGACACACCTGCTCAGATAATAACCCATGCCTATTGTGCCATGCGTAATGGCGCATCACCGTCCATGGAACATAGCAAAACATGAATATTTTCCATGAGGGGACGAAGGCTGGGAACAATACATACCTGCCGCTGTGAGAAAGTAGAGACGAAGGTCACACTTTGCCCAGTGACAAAAAGAGGGGGAACAGCAGCTCTCTGCGTGTCAGACAGGCAGGAGAGCGCACAGCTGGATTCCTGACCTCACTCACTCCGACAGGACACCCAGTACAGGGTGTGTCAGAGAGGAATGGGAGACATCCCTCAAATACAATTGAATAAATGAACAGGGGGGAAAACCAAGATGCAGCAGTGCAAATGTCTTCCACTGACATTCCTCTGGTGGAGTGCGCCTTGATGTTCTCCGGGGGCTCCCCCCCAGAGGAGACATATGCCTGTGACACAGCCTCACACAACCAGTGTGACAGCCATTGTGCAGACAGAGGTTGCCGATCGAGCGCTCTCTATAGTGCACAAACAGGTGCTGAGAACGGCACAAGGCAGCCGTGCGCGCCACATAGCAAGACAGCGTGCGCACAGGACAGAGGAGATGAGAAGTGGCTTCTTCCTCCGACCTGTAAGGAGGCGGGAAAAAAACATCCAAGGTGATCACTCTCGACTCTAAAAGAGCTTGTGATGACCTTTGGCATAAAAGCCTGGTTAGGGCTTAACACAGCTGAACTGCCATCTCCTTGGATCCGGAGGCATGACGGAGCCACAGAGAGAGCAGACAAATCACTCACCCTTTTTGCTGATGTTAGTCAGAGCCAAAAGCAGTACTACTTTGGCTGATAACAGTTTAAGGGGAACCTGCTCTAAAGGTTCAAATGGGGCTTGGCTTAGTGCGCTTAACACCAAAGCCAAATCCCACTGAGGCGCCAGTGCGCGTGACACAGGTCTGAGTATTCGTACTCCTCGAATAAAACGTTTCGTCAGGGGGTGACTGAACAACGTCCCAACCCCGAAACCCACGTGACAAGATGATATGGCAGCAGCATATACCTTGATTGTGCTGAAAGCCAAATTCCTGTCCAACAACAGCTGGAGGAATGACAGCACGTGAGGCAGGGGGCACGTAATGGGGTCCAGGCTTCTTTCTACACACCAACGCTGGAACGCTGTCCACTTGGCTGTGTAGGACGCTCTGGTAGACGCGGCTCCCTGAATGGTACGTACAACATCTTGAGAGAGGCCCAACCCCTCTAAGTGTTCCCGTTCAGGGAACACTTAGGGGGGTCCTGCGCTTTCAGGGAGAACCAGAGGGCGCATTCCCGCGTGCGGCAAACAGATCCACCTCTACTCTCCCAAACCGGCTCCAAACCTGGGAGATCAGCTCAGGATGGAGGCTCCAGTCCCCCTGGCGAGGACCTCCTCTGTACATAAGGTCTGCCCCTCTGTTCAATTCGCCGGGAACAAACATTGTTCTGATGGAGAGCAAGTGTGCGCTCGCCCAGATCAACAGCCGCCTGGCTGTGTTCAGAAGCTGCGCTGAGCGTACTCCGCCCTGGCGATTGATGTAGGCTGCCGCGGCTCTGTTGTCTGTGCGAATCAACACATGCTGATTCTGCAGCAACGGGGCAAAATGCTGAATTACTCTCCGTACGGAGAGCAATTCCAGCACGTTTATGTGGAGGGACATGTGAGCCGGCCACTGTCCCCCCACTGCCTGCGACATACACGTTCCTCCCCACCCTGATAGAGATGCGTCTGTGAACACCGAGATGTGTGACGTAACTCTGCCCAGGGGCACCCCCACTGACAGGACGTGGGGACTTTTCCAATAGGTTAAGTCTGAACCCACGGAAGGAGGGATGGCCACCATGCGCCTCTTCTGTCGCACGGGGTCGATGCGTAGGCGAATAAACCACCTCTGGAGTCTCCTCATGTGAAGGAGACCCAGGGGAATCACCACGTGACCGGCTGCCATCATGCCAAGCAGCTGCATCACGGAGAGGGCTGTCTCCACGCTGCGGGTTGTGACGCGTCGAAGGAGAGCTATCAGTGCCTCCACTCTCTGCTGTGAGAGTCGTGCTCTCATGCGGGCTGAGTTTAATTCCACACCCAGGTAAATAATACTCTGGGAGGGAAGAGGGCAGCTCTTCTTCCAGTTTATTTCGAAACCCAGCTTTGACAGATGTGATACGAGCTGTACCGTCTGTAAAGCAACTTCCTCCCTGGAGCGAGCCAGCAACAGCAGGTCGTCCAGATAAAATAGTACTCTCATCCCTCCTCTATGTAGCGGCTGCAGCGCCCTCTCTACACACTTTGAAAAGGTGTGAGGAGCCAGGGAATAACCGAACGGCAGACGGTTGTACTGGTACGATATTCCCTGGAATGAAAACCGCAGGAATTTCCTGTGTTACAACATCAGGAAGATACGTCCCCAGCTGACACAGAAAGCGACGCAGGTTCTGGTCCAGGCTCTCGTCATCTCACGCCTAGACTACTGCAACTCCCTCCTGGCTGGTCTACCTGCATGTGCCATCCGACCTCTGCAGCTCACCCAGAATGCAGCGGCTCGTCTGGTCTTCAACCTTCCTAAATTCTCCCACACCACTCCGCTCCTCCGCTCCCTTCACTGGCTTCCGGTAACTGCTAGAATCCACTTCAAGACACTGGTACTTGCTTACCATGCTGCGAATGGATCTGGCCCTTCCTACATCCAGGACATGGTTAAACCGTACACCCCAGCGCGTGCACTACGCTCTGCATCAGCCAAACGACTCGCTGCACCCCGGCATGTCCTGGAAAGAGCCATACACCCTTGAGTCTGGACCCAGCATATATCAGTCAGTGTTTGCGTTTTTTACACACACATCCTTATCAGGTTTCGGAGACAGCAGTCTTGAAGGGGGGGGGAGGACGTTTTGGTCCGGATGATTGTGGTAGGCATGGTGACGGGGGTGTTGGTGCGCGTCCAGGGGGAGGAGGTGGTTGACGTAGGAACGGTGACGGAGACGGGGGAGGTGGTGCGCGTCTCTGCTTCGGTGATTTTGATGGGCGTCGTTGAGGAGCGGGGGTAAAGGACATGCTGCCAACCCTGCGCATCGTCTTAGTTTGGTTATTGAACTCCAGGAAGGAATCGGTGCCAACCCTCTGTATCTCCTTCATGTGTTCAGCGATCTCCAGGAGGGTGGGCGAGGGTGAAAGGGTGAACGGAGAGTAGAGAGAGCTGTGGGGTGAAGGAAGAGTATCCTCAGAGGTGATAGGGGGGGGTGAAGGGCGGTGGAGACTTCTCCATTCCATAATCAAGACATTCCTCAGTGTGCAGTGATAGATTTTCAAGGTTTTCTGAGTGATGTGTTGTGTCTTTCTCTTGTTTTGATTCCTCTTGTTGCTTGTCCTTGGCAGAGGGAACAGATTGATGACGCAGGCAGTTGAATATGTTAGAGATAAACTATTTCACTCCTGACTTGTTCAGTCAAACTCCATTTGCCTTAAAACATCATATCAATCTTTATTTTTTTTAATAAAGATTGATGTGATCCCTGGCTTAAAATAACTAGAGAAAAAACAAGCTTTGTTATTGGCTGAGAAACATTGCTGAATCCCTACTTCAAACAAATGTATTGTACACTTGTAGTTCTTACAGGCCAGACTACTCAAGTCCATTTATGTGTTAATAACACTATTGATTGCACTCAATTTTGTATAACTCATGGTTTGCTAGACTCTTGTGAACATTTAGAAGTGTAACAGAAAAATAGGCTTATTGAGGGAATGGTAGATACACCAAAGTGCACCAACATCAACAAACACAATTTCCCTTTAATGCATCATAACAAAATAACTTGTGGAGCACGGTGGACCTGACAGATTGGTGAAGTGTCACTGGATTTGTCACTTGTTCAAATGTTTTTGTAAGACCAACATTTGCATGTCTTCTCAAAAAGTGACTTCTGTCACAATCCTCGCTGAATTTGTTAATTTGATCTTGTCCGTTTCCTCTCAACAGGAAAGTCGAGCTTTGATGACTTTTGCTATTGACAGCAAGGAACAAAGAGTGATGATGTCATACACCAAGGGATCGTTTTCAGTTCATGAGGTCAGTACATTAATGTGGAACATTGTCAAATTTAAGTCTGTGTGATTGCCACATCTGTTGGACAGATTATTGTGCCAGCACTGTTCGTGACCTGCTTCAGGTCTGATGAAGACGAGAGGTTTTTTGGACCTGATTAACTCATTCATGTGTGTTTCTTCTCCTGCAGCTGCAGCAGTGTATAGCAGTCAGCCAGAAAGCCTCAGAGAACATCTTCCAGTTCTACAGGGACTCCGTCAGGAGGCGCTACTCCAAAAACCTCTGATGTAGCAGCAGCTCCCTTTTTCCTACTCGTTTTTTTCCTTTTTAAAATAAATAAATGCTGATGTTATAAAATAAAATATTCTTGATTTTGTGAGTTTGGATATTTTGTGAGATCTCCCTATGTAGAAGTCAGGGCAAAAGAATAAAGCAAAGATGAATGTCAAACAAGTGCATTTATTGGGATTCATGAAGTTTTCTTTCAGTTAAATATTTACATGTTATACAAGAACTCTTGTATTAATACATCTCATTTTTCACAACCTTTGACCTTTATCTATACATGTGATACAAATCTGACTGGAGCCCGTCTCATGACAGTCCACATTAAATTCTCATACATAAATCAGTAGGGTCCTTCGTTCTTTCTTACGTCCATGGAGATGGAGGATTGTCAGAGTTGACTTCACTGTGTGGACAGGGTTAGACACTGACACCACAGGAGTGTCCACATACAGGACCCATAATATATCATCAGCTCAGTCTTGATGCAACACTGGGTTTGCAGGAAACAAAGTATTTGCAGTTCAGCCAGGGACTATAAAAACTATACATCTAAATAGAAAATGTCCACTTGTACCATAGTCATTTTTTAAAATATTTATTTCAGGTTCACAGCTTTTTTTAATGGCACATTTAAGCTCAAACCAATATGGCCAGAGTTCTTTCCTTTCATCAAAGATTTGTTTTAGTCCAAAAGGACGTGATGGAAGCTTTCAGCAGGTTAACAAACTACAAACTGGCCGTGCATGTTTCTGTCGTGACCCAAATGGAGATTGTTCTGACTCATGGCGTGTCTTGCCAGACAATATTATTATTATTTTAACCTTTACCTCATCTGAACACTTACACAGCTTCATTTTCAAATTCAGCAAGAGGTACGTCGTCTTTTTTTATTGGAGAAACGAGCGCAGTCTATATTTAGAGAGTGTGGTGTGGCAGCTTGCTTGATTCTATTAATGGAACAACTCATAGAAGGATCATCTTTAAGAGTTTATTTTCATATTTTTGGCACTTTTTCTCGCAGGTCTGCAGCCTCTGTCATCAGTTTGTCAGCACTGTATACAGAAGCAGCTCCTTTATGTGTAGAGCCGCTGGTTCACATCACGACTTTGCATTTGCCTCATTAATATTTATCTTATATAACTGCACTGTATGTTTTGTCAGTGTGTGCTCGACATAAGGATAACTCACAAGATTGGCATTGAACAAAGCAGTCCTTTCTGCAGATAAACAATAAGTGATAAAGAATGTGAAAATCAGGAAGTGCAGCGGTTCCCTGAAGGTCCCTTGAGTGGTGCAGTGATGACGTATCTTTGTAGGCCAGACCAGGAAGTTAGCTTCAGAAGGGCTCCCTCGACAAAAAGCAATGGGATTTATCCATTGGATTTCAGTACATTGCAAAAAATAAGCTTTGTCGCAAACACGTTTATGATACTTTCACATTATTGTTCAGCAGGATAATCTCCAACATATCCTTCAGGATTTTTTAAATGTAAATCAAAGAAAAAGCTAAAGTTAGCCTATAAATGAACTAAAGCAGGTCGAATGGCTGCGCGTCACCACCGCTAAGCTAAAGGCGGCTAATGTTCGGAGTGATTATGTTTAGTAGTTTATTCAGACCATGGGCGTCATTTTGTTTGAATCAGTGGTGGGACACTTTTTTCCGATTAAAAAAAACACTACTGCGATAAGCGCACCCCGCAAACAATACATAAAAACATGCTCACAATACTTCTTTTGACAACTAGTAAAGTAACTATGCTACGCTGTTCTATTCAATTATTACGTGTCGCTGGTCCAAATTGCACCACTCGGGTTACCAGGAATAATGTACCCAAGAAGTGTGAACAGTCCTCCCGATTGTACATAAACCCCAAACTGTACAACTCTTTAAACACGCTATTTTCAAAACATTTGCAACAAATTATCCTAATGCAAAGTGTTTAGGACATGTCCCCAGCCTCCCCAGTTTAAATGACCCCTGTGATTCAGACCCTAGTTACATTCCCCAGAAGGGTATTTACTGTACAGTACTGATGTATTGCCGTGGAACAAAACGTGAAAATCTCTTCAGCTTGTGTTAACCACAGACCTTCTTTCAGGCTTCTTACCACAATAAAAAAAACGGACTTTTAGACAATGGAACCAGAAGCGGAAATGCTAATTATTTTTCCTGGAGTCATCACTGCACCACTCTATTGGATAGTAGCTTCTGGACCCCCGTATAAAAAGCTCCTGGGATCTTAAAAACTGTCCACAGATTTCACCCCACAGCAGCTCCGTCAGGATTTAGACGCCTCGTCCTTGCTGTGACCTCCTCGTAAATCTGCAGTGTCCGTCGCCGTACTCCGCCCCTCGCTCACGGCTGCATGTCCCCATACTTTTCTCTCTGCCTCTCATCATTTATCCTCCGTTGTTGAGACAGTGATATCTACAGTGTTGTTGTTCTTTTTATGGCACTTTTTTGTCTTTTTTATTCAGTAATGTTTAACGTGAAGACGACTACAGTACACATTTAAGGGATGGCAGAACTTAAGTCCTCGGGCGAGTGAAAACAAATTCACATTTACAGAATTCTATGGAGTGGTGTTTAAGGGTTTTTCCTTACGTCCGAAGAATGTCCTCTGAGCTGAATTATGTCCTAATCCAATTACAAGTGATTATAATCTAAGCACCAGTCTTTCTCCAAGCGCGGTGCAGATAAAAACATGACTGGAGATATGGTCGACAGACAAGGACGGATTATATTACATACAAAGGTGATACGTTGTGTCCGTGACGTGTGTACATCTTTTTTTTGTGTGTGTATTCTGGTGAATGAGTTGGTCTTAAGGGGGTTTGCCGGACAAGTAGGAAATCAACGCAGCGATGGCGCAGATGTACGTTATGATTCCGAAAACGATGGAGAGCACGGAGAGCCACAAAGCCTGGCGAGATGCAGCGTTGGCCCCCTGAAAATCCCCCTGAGCCGAGGCCTTGTTGGTCTGTAGGAGAGAGCAGAGGGAGATAAGAATTAGAGGAGGGGGGGTTAGAGGAGGGACGGGGCATTCGTCATCATTTGTCAAAGTCTCTTCCTGGCCTCCACTTCCCTCTTCCATTCATTCCAATCACACACTAAACCCATATTATGCTCCGTTTCTGAATCACCCCCGGCGTCTGTGCCTAATTCACCCCTTCTCCCCTTGGCCTGCTCCATATTCACACCAGTTTTGTCTTGGACATTTCCGCTTTTAAATTAATTATGATTTTGGAAAGCTGGGTAGCAGGGGGGACCAGATTCTTGTCTATTGCATTTTAACTGCACAGTTTTACTTGTTTAAATAAATATATATTTTTTTAATTAAAAAATTGGTGCAACTGTACGAGACATAAATTTGCACTTGGATAAAAAAAGTACTCTGATTCTGATATTGGTAAGATTAAGGCTCCTGCTGAAAGATGGTCACTAAATGAATTATTGAATATGAATTACATTACATGTCATTGAGCTGATGTGACTTGCATACAGTTAAAAATCTTAGACATACGGGAGCATTTTCTGTGTCTACATTACAAGTCACTTGTTAGATGCTTTTTATCCAAAGCGACTTACATACATTTAGTGCTGTGGGCAATCCCCACAGGAGCAATATGGGGTGAAGGGTCTTGCCCAGGGACACAACGACATGCTGACTGCAGTGGGACTCAAACTTGCTATCCCCTGATTTGAAGATCAGGGCACTAACCCACTGAGCCACAGCCTGTCTTGCCCAAGGCCCTTTGACATATTGACTGCAAAGGCTTGGGATTTAAGCACTGACGCTCTGATTGGCTGATGCCCATTAACCAAGTGTGCCACAACCAGCCCGCACATCTGCTTCACTTTTGTGTTTCGGTTTTTATTTGCTATGAATCTCACAACTCTTAAACTGCATTCACATAATACGTGATTTGTTCCTCGCCCTACGTGAGGTTGGGCACAGAGCCTTGCTGCAAAAACAGCTACTTAAGTTTTGTTTCTATGGTTACATCACCAACTTGCTTGTGTCGCTTCACTCAGCTGTTATCTGATTGGTTGCACTACAAAAGTTAAGCAGCAATCAAGGTCAACAATAAAATAATTTGAACTTTGAGGGCAGTGCTCAGCAACAATCACAAGCATTGGGCGTCGCCAAGGGTAGCTCTTCAGCCTCGTCTCCATAGAAACACAACGGCAATGCAGAGCTGTTTTACCGCTGATCATGTGAAGGCGGCTTTAGGGTTCCTGTGATGCAACATCCATTCTAACACCTTTGTGCTGTTTTAAACAATCTAGACATAATCCCTCCCTCAAACTCTGAACCAATTCCATTATGTTCATAGACTTGGAGAACACTAAAACACTGGACCTGGAGTTAGTCTACACTGCAGAGGGGAGGAAATGACCTGCGGCTGTGAACTACAGTGCCAGGTTATATCTTGTCAGCTAAGGTACAAGTGTGTGTGTGTGTGTGTGTGTGTGTGTGTGTGTGTGTGTGTGTGTGTGTGTGTGTGTGTGTGTGTGTGTGTGTGTGTGTGTGTGTGTGTACCTTCTGTGAGAGGTAGAAGGCAGCGATGCCCAGGGGCCAGAAGCAGCAGAGCATGGAGAAGAAGGCCAGACCCAGGTAGTCCTGAGGGATCATCAGGGGGAAGTTGCTCTCACTGTCTGTCTCACTGAAGTCTTCAATGGATGAGTCCTAGGATTCAAACAGAGTGCTCTTAGGTTGAGTTCAGGTTAAATACCCCCAAAATAAACTCTGACGTTGTCTGTTAACAGAGATGATTTAGCATGTTTCCATCTATTTCATTAAGCAGAAATGAACAGCAACATCCTTTCAAAGAATCTCTATTACTCTTGACAATCCGCAGAACACCCTGCAAACAGGTTTTAGTTGGGGCTATTTATTTGAATCAAAGAAGTTCCAGAAAATGTAGATTTGCAATTGTGTGTGATATAGCATGCAGTGTGTCCCCTCTTTCCCCTGTCACCTCCCTGTAGGTACTGATCAGGTGTTCAATTAACTCAGGGGAACAAAGGGAGAGCGAAGTGGGTTTTTTGGTAGGAAAGAGAAAAGAAGGAATCCTGGCAGCTTGCTGAAGGGTTTTGAAGAATGCATTTTGTAGATGTGGGTTGATTTCAGTGTGTTTAGCTCCAAGTGATGGTGTTACCTGAGGCTCCAAGAGGACCGGTTGAACAATAGGAGTCTGAGGACCAGGGAGGACAGAACAGCAAAAGCCCATCTAAAGTATACATCTTGTTCCATTTTCAGTGGCCGGTGAGTCACTTACTTTTGGGGATAATTTTCTTTTTTTTTCAGATTTGTCTTTCCCTTGGATTATATTTGTTGCTTACTTTTGTGGAGTGACCTTGGACTTTGGTTGTTGGCTTTGAACTGGATTATACAGCTGTTTTAAGAAGAATGGATTTGGGGAGAACAATACCTTAGAATCTTAAAGAGACCAGTTATCTTTGGGGTTTGTGTTGGAGTTGTTTGAACGCTTTTTGTTAAATACATGTTTTGTTTAGATGGGAACTTTAGGGGAAGTATTACTTAGAGGACACACTGACATTATCAGCCCCCTCTCTTTGCCTAGTCGAAGAACAACAGTAGCTCCTGAATCCTGTGTCTTTCCACTTGCATTTGTTAATTTTATGAGGGAAAAAACAACCAAGCAAATATATTTGAGTGAATTAGCCCTTTAAATCTAGCCCCTTTTCATCTATTCAAGTGAGTGCATATTATCTTGTTTCAAACATACAAAGATAATAAGCTCTGACGCGAAGTTACCGCATTAAAAATGTACTTTTTTTTAATGTTGTGTTCACGTCAACCACAACACTGGTTTAAAGCTGCCGGTGCCTGTAAGATAATGTGACTGAATGGGGTTAGCCTGCAAGCTGACCGCAGGGGAGACATGACTCGTGCATGTTCATGAAACAGCTGCATATTCAATCTGACTTCCCCTCTCCCCCCGACCCGTCATAATACTATGCAGGTTCTACTTTGTGCGTGGAGAAATTGTGCATTTTCCAAAGATGTCGTATTTAAAATGCATACACCAGCACCCTTCTTTCTCTGCTTTTAAAAGTTAAAGAAGATCAGACGGGTAAATCAGAATGAATTATTACATAGGGTACTTTAAAGATTGGATCTCAAGGTTATTTGAGTTGATCTGATGTCCTTCACTCCACCGTTACTCTCTTTGTGGATCATTTTATTGTTGGCAAGAAAAAAGTGCAGCACCATGTACATGGTTTAGCTGCTCTTGCCTTATTACTTGCACCATTGTGTCATTTGCGCCATTCTCTAGCACTTTTTTCTGTATTTTTTGCCTATTTTGATGGAAGAGCTTAGGACTTGAGATTTTAATTGTCAACAACTACGGTGTAGATATTGTACATATGACAATAAAAGCTTGTAAAGCCTATAAAGTGACTCTGGGCGGGACATCTCTTCTGGGGTTAGGTTAGGGTAAGTAGGGTTATCATTGTCTGGTTTGACCATGAAGCATTAAAAGAGTTCTGGGAGTCAGGTTGACTCCTCTAACTCACTTTTAAGGTGAAACAAAGAAGGAGATTGGCCCTAATAGAGTTCACTGAATGGTTTGATTCCCAGAGGCCGTTGCATCACTTCACTTTCGCATTCGGCATTCAGAATGAGCTTGACAAGAAGAAAAGTGATTTCCTGTGTTCTTCTGTCCTTGGGGAGCGAACCTCACATCAACTTTTAAGCTGATTGGACCTTTTGATATAAGCTTAGAGACTTTTCATAGTAATATTAACAACAAACCGTTACTTACTTTACAGCGTATGCACTCTTAACGTGGAATGACCACTGTAAGAGTTTCAAAGCTCCTTTACATTTCACTCCAGGGTGGGTTATGCTCAATGACCTATCAAATGGAGCTGGCGTTCTGGTTGCGTCTGTAGTGTCATTACCTGCTGCGCAGCAGAAGAGGAGCTTTATGTAATCTGGTTTTCTGACAGTCAGCATCCAATTGCTGCCTACCCCTGAAATGCATGGCTCATATGTCTATTTTTAAATTCCTCTTTGAATCCGTACTAAGAATATGAGAGCCTCTCTTGCTTTTCATGCATTTGCTCCTCCAACAAACAAAAACGATGTATTAGGAAGCCAGATATGATGATTAATAATTGCAAAGAGGAAAACATTTATCGATTTGAAATCATTTTTAAGATTTCATTGTTTCAGTCATTTATTTATAGATAATGCCAAGCTCTTCCTGATTCAGCTTCTCTGTAGGAAGATTTGCTGCTTTTCAGTTTTAAGTCATTTTAAATTGAATATTTTTGGGTGTGGAGTGTTGGTTGAACAAACCAAGACATTTGACGACCTCCTCTTGGACTCGGAACAATTATTTTTGGACTTTTTAATGTTGTTTATGATGCGTAATGGACCATAAAATAATAATGTTTAGCCTTTAAGGACATATTGTGCACATTTCTATGGAGTGCTTACCAACCCGCAAACGCTGAAGTACAACAACCCAGTCAGATTTGTTTGGGACATGGGATTCAAAATGCCAGATATGACTCCCCTTCTCATGTCACGTTCATGCTCATAAGAATATTAACCCTGATCCTCCACCCTATTGAGAAGTATATTTTGCAAAGAGCGGACCAATATTGTTCTCACAAGCTCTTGCATATTTCCTGCTCAAATTGTCATGCTGTACTAAGAAGTATGTTTAAAAGATAAAAAGGAAAGCTGTGTACACATTACCTTTTGAAAATGGTGCTGATAAGAATAAGAAGATTTATAAGTTGTCTTGTGAACAGCTTTTCTGTGCTATAAAATCAGTTGCTACTAATGGTTGGATTGTGAACTGCTGCCCAAGCAAGAAATACCTTTTAATGGCCCTTTCCTAAGAGATATTTGGACTCACTCATCTTAAGACTTTGTGGTTTATGTATGTAATTAAGCGACAGAAAAAGCAGTATGAAATATTTAAGGTGCTTTCTGGATGTAAGCATGTCTTCAAGAAACATAATGCATGTATGAACCTGTAAACAGAGCCGGCCCGACCCATTAAGCGACATATGCGGCCGCTTAGGGCCCCGCAGCCACTAAGGGGCCCCCTAGCAACAAAAAAAAGAAAAAAGAAAAAAATCCCAGTACACCGTCACCGTGATAAGTATGTTTAATTAATTGTGTTAATATGCCTAGATTGCTTACTCTCAAAGTCATGTATTATATTATTGAGTCAATAATATAATACATTAACCGTGTATTATATTATTGAGTCAATAATATAATACATTAACCGTGTATTATATTATTGAGTCAATAATATAATACATTAACCGTGCTTTACCTGAACCTCATCATGACACTAGAGAGGACGGCAGGATTGTAATTTCCCGTGTTCAGTGAATGCAACAGAGGCAAGACACCAGACCAACTAGAGAGTTGAATGGAAATAAACATCTGTCTTATTGGCTCACGGGTACCTATCCTGTGAGCTGTGACAATGTTTAAACTGTCATTCGGACTCAGAGTTTTTGAAGATGGACATAAGACATTTTTTTCTTAAAAAAGACAACAATTGTGATGGCTCACACAACAACCCCAGAGCCACCACTTGCGCCAGGTAAACAAGGTATGTAAATGTCAGTAACAGTCCAAGCTATGCGAAAGCAAAGCATAAATTACAGCTACGTTGACGTTACTTTGAATCGCGGGGGTAAGCTAAACCGTTAGCAAGTAGCTATAGCTAACCAGATATATTAAATAAACAGTTTGTCATACAATCTAAATGTAATGTTTTTTAGCGTTACCTGGTGATTTCAAAGAAAGCTCTCTGGGAAATGTTGACTTACTGTCCGACATGAATCTAGAAGCTACCTTACAGTACACAGTTGATCCGGAGTCCTGTCAGTTAAAGTGTTTCATAGTTATCTTAGCTAAGCATCAACCTAGCACTGAAATATATGGATGTTATGTGACAGTATTTCTGAGAAAGAGTCAGCTGAAATGGTGGAATAGTTGCCACTGCGTGTCAACAGCATGTTTGAACGTATTTGCAGCAGTACATGTGGCTTTTTGGCCACTGACGTTGCCATAACAACATCTGAATTTAAATGTATAACCTCTTTTTGTGACAGATTTTTGCAAGAAATGATCATTCTTCTGAATGATATTCCTATTGACAGCTAGTTTCTATGTGAACATTATGAGATGGACAGCCAGAGAGAATAAATGAAAAACAGTTATGAAATACTATATGACAAAACAAGAATACAGAAAAATCTGTTTACAGTTCTGTTTCATATGGGTGTTGAGAGATGTATCCATAGATCTCTTCATTTTGCTCTCAAAGTGCACCAGAATGATGCTTTTAAAAGAAAATCTTCCCGGGGAGCATGCTCCCGGACCCCCCCCTAGAGGAGGTTAGATCCACGGTGTTTACATGCTTATTTATACAATATGTGTGCTTATGCTAACATCATAAGACAAAAGTTGGTTCCGTGTTGTGTGTAGTGAGAACGCACTAGAGCGAGGGGGGCCCCCAAGCCAAAGCTCGCTTAAGGCCCCCATAAGTCTAGGGCCGGCCCTGCCTGTAAATGAGCATTCAATGCCACTTTTCAACTAAACGCTATATTTTACAAGTTGGATTCCAAATACACAAATCGCTGTTGTGTTATGAGAAAGAATCATTCTCAACATGGTGTCAGTGGTGTGTCTTACGTCAGAGTCCGGCAGCAGATCGTCTTCATCGTCTACGCTGTAGGAGTCACTGTGGTAGTCCTGCCTCTCGGCCAGCAGCTTCCTCTCCAGGGTGGAGCCGGGCCGGATGTCCACAAAGGTGGTCTCCAGGTAGTCCTTGCTGAGCAGGGAGTCTGAGTGTCCCCAGATGGGAGCCGTTGGGTAAAAGGACTCCAGAGTGCGAGGCAAGGCGCAGGGGTCCAGGAGCTGCTGCTGCTGGAGCTCTGGAGGATGTCCACAATAGCCCCTCCATGTTAAGGGAGGGTAGGCCCTGTCCTCCTCACACTTAACCAGGATGCCCTTGAACATCCCTCCAGGGTTCTGTCCTGTCCCTGGCCCCAATCCCGGCCCAGATGCCCGGCTGTTATTGGGGACTTCTCCCAGAAGAGGGTGCTCCAGCTCATCTAGATTCTCCATCACTCTGTTTGAATACCAACCACACAAGAGGCCACCACATCAACAGCCAAACAATCTACTAATCAGTCTGCGGTGTCTCCCTGGAGAGAGTCTGGGGGTTTATGCACAGGCAGCTGCTTTGGTGGCTTTCAGCGATAATCCATCTTTAATTTTTCTGTTGTCGTAGGGCTTGGTCCAGAGGCCAACAACCCATTCCAGGTTTATAAAAGATATCCTCAGTGTGCCAGTGCTGGACTTCCCCTGTGTGCTATGGGATGTGCTGAAGTTGTGATGAGGGATTCAGGATCCTCTTTTCCTCACATGTCATAAGCTATTTGTTCCGGGGCTTGATTGCTCAGGGTTTGCCCCACGTCTTCCATTTCACATGATTGAGTGCCCCAGTGTTCATGAATATGCTAATGTTGGCTACTCTCTATCTCATACAATATGAAAATGTCAATTCAGATGATGGAGGACCTTGATTAGCCCCAGACAGGCTAATGAAAACACTCTGCAATGGGATTTCAGTGTGATTTTCCCTCAGGAACTCATGGAAAATGTCTCATGCAATAAAATACGAAATCTTAATCTATGCACAATGTCACGTCATTAGCATGAATGTCTATCATCTCCTGAAAAGTCTGGATGGGAATAAGTAATGCCTCATGAGTTGTGAAATTATTGTGAGGAGAATAACGAAAATGACTTTCAGTCTGTTGTGACATACAGTCAAGGTGTTAGTTTGCACTCGCACAGCTTTCCAAAGGCAGCGGTCTTTCAGACTGGATTGATGCACAATGGGGTGTTCTGAAGCTTGAATATATGCACAACCTCCGTCAGCACTCAAACTAGTGGCGCAATGATCGGATTGGGGCCATATTTGAGGGCAGTTAATCTGTAAAAGCAATGAGGCTCCAGAAATAGAATCGTACGGTGCACATCGGCAGGTCAGCACGCCTGTTCCTCTGTTGTCGCTGCAGGAAGCGATAATGGAGAAATCAAAGTCCTCCGGTGTTGATTTATGGCTGTGGGTTTGCTGCTTGACACGGCAGCGCTCCTTTGGGACATGAATATTTAATGTACCACGTCCACCTTAAGAGGGTTCCATTCGGGACAGGCAAAGAGTCCGACAGCTCTGGATCCAGTTCTCTGATGAGGGACAGGAAGTCTGTAAAGAGAGGGACAGTGTCACACAACATTTTAGACTATACAGCTCCTATGTCTGAGTGGTGCAGTGATGACGTATTTATGTAGGACAACCCAGAAGTTAGCATTGCAACGGCTCCCTCAACAAAAGCTATGGGATTATTCCATTGGATTTTTTTAATATTGTTGAAAATAAGGCTCTGTCTCCACACACGTAAAGATACTTATCATGTTTCATTCAACAGGACACGTAGTGATTTTTGTAGGATAAACTGAAAAGGCAGAAATAAAAAGTTAAGCTATAAACAAACTACATCACAATCGCATAGGCGAGCGTCAACACCGCTAAGCTAAAGGTGGTGTTAGTTAGTAGGTAGTAGTTTATTCAGTCACTTATCACTAACCGCCGATTTTATGATACCTACAGTAGAAGCTTCGGAGATTCACAAATGTGATTTTACTGACGTATTTTTTGTGGTAGAAAGAAAAACCTAAATAAGCTTGTGTTAAACATTGGTTTTATTTTTGCCATCTGACCAATATTAAAAAAACATAGACTTCGAGACAAGGGAACTGGAAGTGGTAAAATGCTATGTCAATTCTGAATCTTAGGAAAAATTATTGCGCCACTCTAAAGTTTTAACCAATAATTAGGCTATTATTCCTCACACATCAGGGCTCAACACTAACTTTCAACTAACATCAACTTAATAATGAACATGTGACACAAACGAATGTTCAAATGCTTTACAATAAGTAATTAACACAATTATTTGAAACTAAAGTGGTAGTAAACTTGTCCACCCTCAATTGCTGGTATACAAAATACCAGTGTGCTGATCACCACCATAGATCCATTGGCCCTTCAGCATTGACGTCTTGGATTGGCCAGACTAATACATTTCTAATGTTAAATAAATCAAAACCATTCACAGTTAAGAATTAAATATTAATTATTAATGCTGTAAATTACCTTTAATATGTCTAACTATATTTAAAATGTGTTACCTTTTTATAGAAGTGATTATTTGTATGCCAATATTTTCCTATGGTAAAGTTTCGTTTTGCACTTTTATTTTGGTAGTAATAAGATCGGGACTCTTATTTTGAAGGAACTTTTACCAGAAGTAAATGCACAACGAAGCAGAATGTACATATATATTTCGCCTCCCAAGACTTTACACATTTCCTCTTTGCTTTTCGTTCGGGTTCATCTTGCGCTTTATCAGTTGAATCACTTTGAACATTCGTTTGAGATGTTGACGGGTTGGCCGAACTTTTTACCCCACAGTCAAACAACTTAATTTGCTTCGCCATTTTTTATAAAACAAACACACGGCGCACCCATGGATGTATAATAAGAACTGGATACAGCGTGGGAGGCGGGGCCTCATTCATTCCTATGAGAGCTGCTCATAGGTGCATGATGACAAAATGGCCCAACTTTTGAGAGAGTGAAACGTCACAGATTACCCAGCATGCCTGAGAAGTACCCGTATGTGCGCTCATAGAGCATGCGCAACTTTAACCACGCCCCCCCAAAAGGCTCGTTCACATCAAGCACGTCAATTTACGTACACGTAACAGCACCGTGTGTTCTGGATTGTTATGATGGATTTGATATTAACGAATAACGAGGCGACCGCGGCAGCTAGCAGCTAGCGGCTGGGTTCCTCGGGCGATATCATATGGTATAGCTAATTAATCTGGGTCAAAATGTGTTGTGCCCACATGCAAAGGTTGTAAACTCTGGCTTATCCCTGCGTGGTATTATAGTAATAGCAAACAGCAACGTTCAACTCCTTTAATGGTATATTGCAAGTGCAATAAGAAGCTACAGGGACGTTAATCTACGTCGGTAATATTAACTTTATTTAATACAACATGGTATATGCAGGAATCCTGAAGTCAAATTGAATACCTTTTAAGACCTTTTTTAAGACCCTTTCCATACATTTTAAGACCTCATCGCAACTTCGAGTTCTAACCGGTTACATTGGCGACACACTTTACCTCACATTTACTATATTGATTGTAAGATAGCACAACTAAATAGAGTGCAGACAGACTACTGAAGCCTCCTCTCCACATGAACTGCAACCTCTCTGAAGGTCAGGTTTAATGCAGTATGCTGCTTTGTTGCTTCTGTACTCTGTGCTCTTTCATTCCAGTAAAACTCCTCAGAAACCATGAGAAACCAGTATTTGACCAATAAACAAAACAATTGACAAAACTTTGAACTATGAAATATATTAAACTTTGGTGAGCTTCAGCGGGGTAATGCCATATAGGAGCTCCCTCACAAATACCCAGGGGTTAAATTGGGCTGGGGCTGTCCGGGGCTCAGCCCGGCACATAGGACGATGCTCTGACGTCATCACCCTCACACATTTGTCATATGTTTACAAAAAACGATATATACAGTTGCAAGAAAAAGTATGTGAACCCTTTGGATTCTCCACACATAGCGTTGTGTGTTTCTTCCAAACAACTCAACTTTGGTTTCATCTGTCCACAGAATATTTTGCCAGTGGAACATGCAGGTGCTCTTTTGCAAACTTCAAACGTGCAGCAATGTTTTTTCTGGACAGCAGTGGCTTCCTCCGTGGTGTCCTCCCATGAACTCCATTCTTGTTCAGTGTTTTACGTATCGTAGATTCCTCAACAGAGATGTTAGCATGTGCCAGAGATTTCTTTAAGTCTCTAGCTGACACTCTAGGATTCTTCTTCACCTCATTGAGCATTCTGCGCTGTGCTCTTGCAGTCATCTTTACAGGACGGCCACTCCTAGGGAGAGTAGCAACAGTGCTGAACTTTCTCCATTTATAGACACTTTGTCTTACCACGGTAAGGATGATGATGGACTGATGAACATCAAGGCTTTTAGATACTTTTGTGACCCTTTCCAGCTTTATGCAAGTCAACAATTCTTAATCGTAGATCTTCTGAGAGCTCTTTTGTGCGAGGCATGGTTCACATCTGGCAATGCTTCTTAAGAATAGCAAATTCAACTGGTGTGTATTTTTTATAGGGCAGGGCAGCTTTAACCAACACCTCCAATCTCGTCTCATTGATTGGACTCCAGGTTGGCTGACTCCTGACTCCAATTAGCTCTTGAAGAAGTCTTTAGTCTAGGGGTTCACATTTCACTTTGTCCACCCTGCACTGTGAATGTTTACATGGTGTGTTCAATACAAACATGAAAACATATAATTGTTTGTGTGGTATTAGTTTAAGCAGACTGTGTTTGTCTATTGTTGTGACTTAGATGAAGATCAGAACACATTTTATGACCAACTTATGCAGAAATCCAGGTAATTCCAAAGGGTTCACATACTTTTTCTTGCAACAGTATGTTAAGACTTTTCTCGTTCTTAATATAGACTATATTTTGGGTCGATATGTGTTGACCTTACTTTAAAATAGCAGATCTCTGTGACCGGATATAGTTTGGCTTAGACCCCGGCCCCACGAGGACGCATACAGTAAAACGCATACAGTCAAATGCATACGCAAACGCAAAAAAGTCTTCCGTTCACACGCATTCGATTCATTAACGTGTCCGTTCACACTAGACCGCTGGAAATGCTGGAAACGCTGTAGTACATATGCCAGGCCTGTAAGTGGCGCTGCTGCCGCCACAAAATACACCAAAAGCAGCGAAGAAGACCCCGGAGCATGGTTGTCATGGTTGCCCTTCTGTTTATTCTCCGCGGTGGACGGCGTGTTCTCCTGCTGTATATCTCTCAGGTAGTCCACCAGCAGATAAACCCCCCCCCCCCCCCGCAGAGCAAGGCAACGAAACTTAAAATAAGAAGCAGCATTTTATGGCACGCTACGTATGGGGCCACCTTGAGGGGGTTTCCCGACATGTTGTTTCAGTAAATTAAAGGGTGTTTCATGTTGTCGTTGCTGTGGACCTTCTTAATACCTTGGAAAATGCCGTTTAATACTTTTTAATAGCCTCAATTTTCGCTAAATTGATTTATCAACTTTTAATACTTTTTAAGCCCCCCCGGCGGACACCCTGTACAAGATTTACATCATACAGCCCATGTAGTATAATATTTTACAAATTATGAATTACAGCAAACATGTGCAATATATCCATTATTACAGCTCCGTGGCAGGAAGGCGATATGGGTCCGTTCTTATTGTGCATCCATGGGTAAAGGTAAAACTCATGTAGTACTGAACACGTCACATCACATGAACGTGCCGGGCGGCGCGGTCCCGTGGGTTAGATGCGCATTCATAATTCAGAGGGAAATAAGTCAGAATAACGTTATTAGCACATTTTTACAACTTGAGGAACGAATGTTTTTAATAAGGGCTATACAAGTGTTCATACTGGGTAGTTCATTTAGTTTCAAAAAAATTATCCAACGATTTACAGACCACTCTTTCCCCATGTAAGTCAATGGGAAAAGGTGTTTCCGGGCCTGGCAACCAAACGGAAGTGTAGTACCGCCTTTTGGCCACCACGAATATTTTCATCTGAGTCCGGCGCACTTCCTGGGGGCTTGGGCGCACCGCACACGCGAGTAAACGTGCATCCACTGATGGCAACCAAAGGCCAAGAAGTGGTTGACATTTTTTCTGAATGGTTGCCAATGGCAACCTGGCAACCGTTACTGTTGAGCCCTGCACATGTACGCACCACGCACACACTGTGGCTACTCCCTAACCCCTATCAAAAATTCACATCAGATAAAATAGGTCAATGCAGCATCAGCATTACTGCTAAACATTTTTTATAAAAATCTCTCCTGAGGATGGTTCCTACTTATCTGTGTAGTACATCCTCAAATCATGAACAATATTGGCCGGCGACAGCTCAGGGGCTAAATGGGCGTCTACCAATCAGAGGGTCAGAAATTAAATCCCCAGCCTCTGGAGAGAGTTATTGGGCAAGAGACTTAAGCCCACATTGTTACCGAAGGCATGTCTACCGTATTAAAATGTTTGAATGTTGCTTTGGATAAAAACGTTAGCTAAATGACATGTAATTATGTAATATTG